CAAACGGCTGAACCAGGTAAGAAGGAGGTGGTCTGCAGCATTCTGGCTTACAACACGCAGCCCTAGCAGGTGGGCCAGGCTGCAAAGCTCAGCAGCCCCTCTGCCCCTGTTGAAGGGTGCACACACCGTGGACCACCAGGCCACACCCACACCCAACAACACGGTCAGCATCCCAGCTCTTGCAGAGTCCAGCAAAAGGAAAGGCCAACAGCTCAGGGTCTGGCCTGTGGCTGTGTCATGCACGGAGCCCGTGAGGCTGTGTGTACAGCGTGAGAGGCCAGAGAGGCCCAAGCCAGCCACAGACTCCGCGTGAGCCCAGAGGCCCTCCGCCTGCCACCCATGTGCACCCCACAGAGACCAGAGGAAGCAGGAAAGAGAAAACTGAACCGACTAGAAAACAGCCTGAATTTGGAATGCCCTGCCCCGCCCTCATGCAGATCGTGGCAGAGACAGAAGAGAACCCTTGTTGGCCTGAGGTGGTGAAGCATAGGCTCTGCCCGGCAACTGGCCTGTATACAAAGAGCATGACTCTGAAAAACCCAGGCTTTAAAAAATGAAAACAAAATTGAAAAAACCAACTAGGCAGAGGCACCAGGACTTACTCACTGCAGGGGAGAGTTGTCATAGATCACTCCCAAAGAAATGCAAACGAGCCCCAGATAGGACAGCAGAGATTTACATCCAGACACATCAAAGTTGAGATGATGAGAGCCACTGAGAAATCTTGAGAGAGTCAGATATATGTGACTGATGATGTCGGAACCATTAGTGGTTGGCTTCTTATAAGAAGCAACGCAGGTGAAAAGACAGAAGGTGACATGTTCATTAGGAAAATGTCAATTAAAACCACACGTCACCAGGATGGCTGCAATCAGGAAGATAGTGCTGACAGGGGTGTGGAAACACTAAAAACTTCATCACTGTTTCCAGGAATAATAAATGATAAAGACACTTTGGAGAACAGCTCTGCAGCCTCTTCAAGTGCTAAACACAACCTACCATACAACCCAGCAAGAGACTCCAAAGATAAATAGAAATGTGTGTCCAAAGACATGTATGAGACTGTTCACAGCACATTGTACTGAACAGCCAATCTGGGAATGATCCAAAGGGCCACGACGGGTGAGTGGACGACAAGTGCTGTCCCACTGCCCAGTGGACACAAGCCCACTGCTGGGTGCCACGAGGTGATGCTCAGACACATGACAAGTGACAGTCACATACAGACAACTATAGGTCACATGATTCCATGCAGATGAAATACGCAGGAAAGGCACATTTATAGAGACAAAGAGTCTCTATAATGGCGGATGGGGGTTAACTGACAACAGGCACTAGACACTCCGATGTGATGGGAATGTCCTGAACTGGGTGGTGGTGACCCAGGCACAGGTCTGCAGTCTGACTAAAATCTCACAGAAAGGTGCACTTAAAGTGGGGAAATTACATGGTATGTCAATTATACCTCAAAGAAACTTAAAAAAAAATGGTTAGTGGTTAGTCTGACAGTAAAAAATTCAGGGATGTCTGGCAACGGGCAAACCATCAGTGAATGAGTGTAAGTTAAAAAAAAAAAAAAAAAAAAAAGAAAAAAGGGGGGTGAAGGGCATGGTTCCTTCACAGTGGGTCGACTTTGCCTGGACTGAAGGGTGGCCACCGGCACTCACCACGGGACCTGGTTCTGAGATTTCCGAAACAGTGGTGAATGGCATGGTTCCTTCACAGTGGGTCGACTTTGCCTGGACTGAAGGGTGGCCACCGGCACTCACCACGGGACCTGGTTCTGAGATTTCCTGCGATGGGATCGTGCTCGTGGATTGACAGCACCAGTGTTATTTTCACGTAAACTGACACTGCTGGAGCCATCAGCAAAGCCTCTGAGACCCCCTCAGGGACCTCCCATTTCGAATGATGAGCCGGCTTTGCATTTCATGTCTAGCAACAAGGAGCAGGCCGCTCACGCCAGCTCAGACTTATCGGAACATCTGGGGGTCCCTCCTCCCCCACAGGTCTTGCTAGGAACCCTCAGCCTGCAGGGTCCCGGCTGGTCTCCACCGGGTCGTTGGCCACAGCTGTGGCTGCAAGAGCAACCTCGCAGAATGAGGGCCAGACGCAGAGCTGGCCAGCTTGTCAGCTGCTATAAAGAGGAGGGTCCCCAGGTTGGTGTTTATCTCCTGTCCAACAGGCCCCACTCCTGGATGCCTGCAGCATCCCTGGGTGACTCGGGCTTAGGGAACCAGGTGACTTTGCTGACACCAAATGTTGTTCTCTCTGTGAATAATCGGCCTTTTGTCTCTGACCCACGAGTCGCCTGTCTCCTAGAAGCATCCAAGACCCCCGAGTGCCAAATCTGTAAGCTTGCAAGTAAGGAAGAATCCCAGACCCTCAGTTCTTGACAGCTCCTTGCACTTTAGATTTACAAGTAGGAAGAAATCACGTGTAAACTCTAAAGCCTGATCTCCACTGTAGTACATATACACACACTGTATACAAAATAGATAACTAATAACGAGCTACTGTAGAGCATAGGGAACTCTACTCAGTACTCTGTAATGGCCTATATGGGGAAACAACCTAAACAACAGTGGATATATCTATATGTATAACTGATTCACTTTGCTGTACGCGGAAGCTAACACAACATTGTAAATCAACTATACTCCAATAAAAATTAATTAAAAATAAAATAAAATAAAGAATGTTTATGAGCCAAATCACAGCACTCACTCTCCATCAGGGGGCTTAAGAAACCTAAGGATTGCATTGCTATGTGGCCTGGAACAGTGCAGTGTACGGCTAAAAACAAGCCATCGATTTTGAAATCTCACTGCAAGACTAATTCTGTGGGGATGAAAATATGAGACCCAATTCAGAAATGTATTGGGTTTTCAATTCAGGTTAGTCTAGTGCTGGGATAAAGGGGCAGAAATGTGGTCGCAGGAGGGCCCGAGGAAGGCACCCAGCTGTCCAGCAGCGACGGACACACAGGGTGTAGTAGATGAGGGACCACTGGCTTCAGAGTCCAGCTCAGCTACCCGCTGGTGGAGTGGCCTTGGTTGTGTCCCTCAGTCTCTCTCTGGTCAGTGTCCTGACATATGTCAGGGGGTGAGCAGTGACATCTCTGTGGCAGGGTGGTATGGGGACAGCGGGTCGTGTGGGGAGCACTTTGTCTGGCCTGGGTGCCCCCCGGCTTTGAGGGGCCGTGCTCACCTGTGGGAGCTCAGGACCATGGCACAGCCCTCCTGAGCCTCCTTTGTCACCACCTCCCACAGGTGCCGCTTCAAGCAGGGATCCATCTCCGAGCTGGGTTCGTCCTGAAGGACAGAAAACACAGGGTGAGGGGCGCGGGGAGAACAAGCATCCCCAGTGTGAGGGCAGCAGGCCCAGCCCAGAGGGAATCCTGGCCTCAGCTCCAGGCCACGCTCCACACCCAGCAGAGGCCAGGGCCCCTCATGACAGCCGGCCCCCCTAGGGGTCTGGGGAGGTAGGCCGGCCTGGATGAACCCCAACCTCTTTAAAATTCCAGAAGGATCTACCCGAGAAAGATGTAGGAGAGCAGAAAATGGCTTTGTTGATTTCACGTTGTCAAGTAAATTGACATTTCTTGAAACTCGAAGATTTCTCCTTCAATAAACACTGAAGCACTTCTCATCCAAACCACTTTTGAGAGAGATGCTTCTAGGCTGCATGATGCGTTTCTGTGCTTTTGTAGTCAGGAAGTACAGAACACATTTTTCTTAAGAGCTGAGGGTCATCAACTGCCCCAAAGAAAGAAACAGAAGGAAAGTGGACACAAAATGGCACTGAGCAGAAAAGCAGACACCAGCATACATGGGGCCTTTTCTGCAAATCGCGTGATACAGTGTATAGTTAGTTATAAACCAAGTGGACGGAAGGTGTGACCAGGCATTGTTCCCTGAGAGAGTTGGATGCATCGTTCCCACACGGGTGTCGGCGGGGAGACGCTTGTCCAGTCTCGGGGGAGGACGCTAAGGGCCCTTCAATGCATGTCCACCACCAGATGCTCTGAACACTCACTGTCACTAAAGCTCAATAGGGAGGATTTCATGGGCTGCCTTCAAGGACTCTGATGGACAGACACTGTCATCAGGACCATTTCACACGAGGAGGAAACGTGCACACAACGTGTGAGTCCCCACCCTGGTCGCCACGCCCAAGCCTGGATGAACCAGGGTGCTGAGAGCAGGGCTGCAGGACGGGTGAAGCTGACTGGCTGTGGTGAGCCGGGGACCCGCTCCAGGACGGAGGCCCCATCCCGACCCAGGAGACATGGGGGTGAGGCTGAGCGGGCAGTTCTGCTGAAGGTAAGGAATGGCCCTGTCAGGAACTCTTCAGCGCAAACCGGCCTTCTTTTGTAAGGAAAACGCGTTTGCAAACTGCAAAATCGTGCAAGTGTTGAGTTTTCATTACCCGATTTCAGAAGATGCAATAACACAGTAGTCCTTGATTTCGGACCTTGCAAAAAAGCAAGCTTGGTGCAAGTAAGAGGAAACTTCAGCTCAGATTGCAGAAGACAGTCCACGAATGATGGGGTCATTTTTCCAACACAGGTCTTCTGAATCCCCTTTAACTCCCCGCCCTGAAATGCTGTTTCCATTTAATGAACAAGAACAGGAAAAGAAAGAATGTATCTTGTTTCCCATACTTTTCCATGTTCCTCATACCTTCTACAAGCGCAAAGTCCTGGGAAGCCCTCTAATGATTAGAATCCAATCTATGGCTCACAAAGGATGACTTCTATTTATTGTTTGAATGATAGCACTTTTAGCTGTTTTGAAATGCAAATCAATTGGCTCTATTTCTTGACACTTGACCACCTCTAATTCATGTTTCCATCCAGCCAAACTGGATTAATTTCTGTTCCCACGTGGATTATAGACAGCCTTGTCCCAAGGCCACTGCCCGTGCTCTGCTCTCCCTCCAGACGCCCTCCCCTCCCCCCCCATCCATCCTGCACCCTGACCCCCACCCTCAGGTTTGCCCACGGACACAGTCCCTACAGCTCCGACCATCATATCTGCAGGTAGGAAAAGACTTAAAGCAACAGACCAGAGGAAAATTGCATCAGTTTTCAGATTACAAGTGAATTCTGGTATTCTTTTAAAATATTGTCTTTAATGTTAAAATTGTATCAAATCTTCAATTGGATAAATAAAAGGGAGTCAAAGAGTCTGTTTTGGTTCTGTAAAATTCCAATGGTATTTTAGATTCTGTTCAGAAAATGTTGATTTAGGGTCAAACATTTATTAGTTCAGAAGCCAATTTTGAACGTCCTCCCCGGAGGAACTCTGAAAGGTCTAAGCGTCTTATTTGCAGACACGGGCGTGTCCCTGATACGTCAGCTACTCGCCAGTAAGAGAAGGTCAGGTTTCCCCAGCAGGGCCAGGGCTGTGGACAGCTTCCTTTTGGTCCCCCCGCTGTAGGTGGACACAGGTTTGTCCACGTGGGCTTCCAGGTGGAAGCACCTCACAAGGTCCCCAGCCACCTGAAGGAGAGGGGCTCTCTTTGAAGGCACCCCCATTTGCCAAGGGACCCGCCACCCCGTGACACGTGGCTCTGGGCCTGGAGCCCTGCTCCCTCCGGCCCCTCCCCTGGCCACCTTCCCACACTCAGCCCAGCTCCTGAAACACCCCCTCCAGGACACAGGGATGCTGAGAATGAACAGACAGGGCTCTCCTGGATGAAGCTGGGTTTTCTGCACCTGTGAGTCATGGAAGTGATGGCCAGAACCCTGAGCTCAGGGCTGGTGCTCAGGGAGCAGCCCGGGACAGAAATGTGGTATCCCGGGTGAGCCAGACACACCTCCACACTGAGGTGAGCGGACACAGGTGAGGCAAACAACGACAGAGGAGGATCTGAGTGGGGATGAAACCCTGAGAGAGGGGGCTTCAGGTGGCAGAGGAGCAAGGGGGAGCCTTCAATATCCCCCAGGAAAGAAAGAGTCCTCTCAGGACACTGCACACCCAGTTCAGTTTACAAAGAAGAGTCAGGGTCCTGCTTATTTGCAACCACTGGGCATCCTCGCAGTAAAACCAGAGGATGGTGACTGCCCATCACCAAACAGAGCCCCTCGGCCCCAGGGATGCCCCGGCCCCCGTATGGTCACCACTCCTCTTCCTCCTTGGCCGAGCAGCTCACCACTTATTCATACGTCCTTGGAGCACCAGATCCTTTCATTCTCCCTCCTTAGAAGAAACAAGCACGCCCCCCAGCCCCACCTTAGCTGCTCTGCACTCAGTTCTGTCTGCTTCCAGGCTGGGCTGGCTCCTCTGGGAGCTGAGATGAAGAAACTTCCTTGTTTCCATCTATGCGTGATTTTAAAATGCTATAAACTGTTTTATTTAACTCTTGTGACCCTAGAAGTATTAACAAAGATTTGTTTTTTTCAATATCATCATGTAACCAAATTGGTCAAGATTGTATCTTAATTCAAATATAAGAGAAGTGGGAAAAACTCTACAGGACTCTGGAGGTGGGCTAACGAGTATGCATCCTAAATAATCCAATACAGCAGAACTTTAAACCAATGTACATATTTTTTGGATAAAAGCATAAAAGTTGGGATAGTAATAATAATAGTGATAATTACAACAATGAAATACTAAGGACTTCTAAAAAGATTAGGATAATATTTATGCCACCCAATAAAAAACTCTCAACATAAACTGCTCTGTCACTTTATTTGTGCACACTATGTAGTGTGGACAGTGGGGAAACAAATTAAAATGATTACACCAACCTGCCAAGCCTAAGTTCAAGCTGAATGAACACAGCATCCTTTTCTCACCTAAACTGAACTTCTGGAGGGTCGGGTAAGTGCGTGAGTGATATGTAGGAGAGACCAGTCAGCTGGGGCCAGATGTGAGTGAGGACCCTGGGTGAGCTCTGAGCAGGGACGCTTGGAGGAGGGCCATCCAGAAGGACCTTCCCCACAGCAAGAGGGGCTGTGTCTCCAGAATCACAGAGGAGACAACTGCGGGAGCTGTGTGGCAGTGGGGACAGGTGGCACCTGGGGAAGAGGACCCAAGTGACAGCACACAGGCTGGGAAAGCGTCCTGCCAGATCTGGGAGTCCTGAAACCCAGGGCCAGTCAGAGGAGCCCGCACATAATCTCATGCAGTTTCCACTTCTTCAGCCACCAAACGAGTGCAGAAAACCAGATGGAGCCATTCAGCACACTGGAAGCATCTCCTCATCCAACCAGCCACCTGAGTATGCCGAGAACACCACACTGCAGCCAGGTCATCTGCCCTCAAAACAAACTCCCACATTCCAGCCAGGGACTTGGGCAGTTTCCTATCCCACCACTCCTGAAATGCGGCCTAAGCGTCTTACCCACCTCCTATGGCTGCTGTAAGACAGAACAGTGCCTGACCCAGCATAAACAAACTACTGTTTTTTGTTATTTTATAATAATCCCTCTCGTCACCCAGTGATAAGCTCAGTGGAACAAATATGCCTGTTCTATATTTCAAATATTTCCAAAATCTACAGGAGAGGGAAATTTGCCATCAAGGGAGCTAACTCCTCTGGAAACACATGTGCTGATGTCCTAGAAACCTCTGAGCAAGCAATAATCCTGTCTGCAAAATCAGTTGCGGTTTCCTGAAAGAAGTGAAGCCAGTTCTTAACTGGCGACCGTTAAGCTGTTAGACAGCTGAGGATCACATGCAATTGCCCTGGATGACAGCAAGCAGCAAGCCTTACTGTATTAACAAGAACACTTTCAAAGGGCGTGCTTCCCCCGGGACAGTGGAGGGGCAGCTTAGAGAGTTTGCCAAGCATCCACCTCTTTAGTCAGAAACCAGCCAGGGGAGCTGACGGAGACAAACACCCATTAAAGACAGAGCCAGCGAGTAGCCCCAGATGTCAAGAGCTGCTTAACTGCAGTGAGCAGGGTCCTGTGGGTGGACACCTGTCTTGGTTCTATTGAGGTGGGAGGTGGTGAATGGACCAGGACCCCTCAGGGGACGTGGAGAGATCTCATTCTGGTTTCACTTAGAGCCACAGAGCAAAAATAAGAAAGGAAGGCTGAGGCACTGCAGAGCAGCACACAGAATGTATTTTCACGGGCTGGTGAAGGACACGGCTGTGAGTTTGTCTCCTGGGAACCCCACGATGCTCATCTCCTGCAGAAGCTCACTGAAAATGCATCCCATACGCCCCTTACTTCTGCTCCAAGTTCAGAATCCAGACATGCAAGCAGCACCGCACACTCCCTGCAGTGAGGTGGTGAAGGTAAAACCTCTCTGGCGCACCTGCCAGGCCGAGGCCGCCCAACTGGACCAAGCTGTCAGTCAAGGCTGTCAGCCCCGCCTCGCCGGCTGCGGCTGGAGCCAGACAGAAGGGCAGCTGCCTCCGGTTCTCTCGGTGGTACCTGCCCTCCCCACCTCCCACAGACGGGGGCTGCCTCTGCGGCTACCCCAGGCCTCCATCCTCCTGAGGCTGCCACCCCACATCCCGCCGAAGGAGGCCAGGCACGTGCGCTGGCAGCCCACCCGCCAGGAAGTCATCCTTTCCAACCACCCACCAAGTCCACATGCGCTATGAGCCCTTCTCCGCCGGGCCTGGGGATCCTACTCTATGATGTTTGCTCCTGAATGCAAATTAAGAGCCTAGTAAGCGTAAAAGATGCTTCAGGGGACAACTGTGTAGGAAACAAAATTGCAGATGACGGTATGCTTTCCCTCCTACCCAGCACTTCCTCTCTGCACAGGGACCTATTCTAGATTTACAACATAAATATGACATAGACGTATTTGATTGTGTTTCCTTCAGCATCATCATACTGGAAATATGTTTCAGGGACATTTATTTGATACTGCAGTTCCTTATCACAGGATGAGAGAGCTCTGTTGGGACTGGGGGTGTCGCCAAGCATTCTTCTGTGGGTCCCTCTTTCTGGACACCCTCAGAGGCTCTTTCTTTGGGGATGCACTGCTTTGGAATCCCACGCAGGCTGCAGTAATAACGCAGGTGTTCCCAGCCGGTCAGGAGCTCATCCAGGGCGTCCTGCTGCAGACAGTAGCCAACGTGGATGCTGGCTGTGCCAGCAAGAGCCAGATCCACATCCTCTCTGCCAAGAGAAGAAGCAGCACTATCCAGAAAATTCGACTTTCCAGACAAACATCACCTATTTCTTAAATTTGGCTTATCAATCAGAAGTTCATTGCAGTTTGTCTGATGCAGTTAAATGGGCTCAAGGAATGAGTAGCAGCCCCTGTGTCAGTAGAACAGACTCGGCTCTGAGGCCACGATTGCTCTAGATGTTAAAGAACATGCGTAAAACACTGAGCTTCGTAGCCGTCATCTGGCAACAATGCCTAAGTTCAATAAATGGCCATCGTGGCTATTATTCCCCAACCAAACACCTAATAAATCATTCAGTATCAGATTTTTTAGAAATCATTTTTATGATAACAATAATATATATCTGTCATTGAACATACAGAAAAATAGGAACCTAAAAAGAAAAATTCATGGTCCCAGCCCTCAGTAACATTTACCATTGACGTTTTAGTGTTAATCCTTTAAGTGCAGCTATGCTCCACGAGTGCAGAGTGAGGATTATACAAAACCGTATGTGCTCAAAGGAAAAGAAGTCTTGTTCTATTTCTAATTTTAATATTAATATATACTCATCATGGAAATTTGTAAACTATTCAAATGTGATCACATTTAAACTTTTAAACTATTCAAGATCACATTTCACATGAAACATTGACGTGTTTCTATGCATTTTTACACAGATGAAATCATAAACTCTGTAAAGATTCTTGAGAACGCTCCAGAAAGGAAAATTCCTATTTCCTAAATGGAAAATAATGTAAAGAAAGACTTGCTGAGAAATCATGACTGTTACAGAGGTTATTATGAGCATCTCTCATTAAAAAAAAAAAAGTAAATCTAGTAATTCAATGTTTATTAATAGTTTATTGGGTTGGCCAAAAAGTTTGTTAGGGTTTTCCATAAGAAAAACTCAAACGAACTTTCTGGCCAACCCAATAATTTTTTTTAAAGTGGTACATGCACCTGGTGACAAGCAAACAATGCAAGAAAACTTGGCTTTGAGTAAAATTTTGCATAAAATTTTAAGTTCCCCACTTCACTTTGCTTTTTCTTCTTAATCTTGTAAACATTACTCTCTCAAACTTTTTTTCATAGAGCAAAAGTTTATTTCAGCCTGATTTTTGATACTCTACAGAAAAAAATTTTTTTTCTGTTCAATCACTCTTAGGAATTTTCTTTATCAGTGTATTTAAGAGATTTTACAAGAAATATATTGGTGTGCATCTTTTTCAGCAGCTTTGCTGGAATACTACAATTTTGTGATCTCAATATATCATATCAGGCTTTGTTTTGAACCAATACTTCTGGAAAAATTTCACTCAGTAACCTTATTTTTCTATCCTCTCTTTTATCTTTCACAGCAGTAAAATACCTATAATACAAAATTTACCATTTTAGCCATTTTAAGGTGTAAAATTTAGTGGAGTTTTAAGAGAATTTACGATTCTCTGTGATCATCGCTGCTATCTAGTTCTAGAACATTTTCAATGTCCCAAAAGGGAACACGCAACTATACAAAAAAACAACAGAAGCCTTAATTAAACAGTCAGAAGACCAGCAGGGGAAGCTCTCGCACCCTGTGACAACAGCAGAGCTGACCGAAGAAGAAAGACTCCGCTTCTCTCCAGGTGAGGACTCAGCCAATGGAAAGTCGTGAGCTCTTTGTTTACTACACCCGCCCACCTTCCCTTCCCTTCCCCTCTATAAAAGCATTCTCTCAATTGCTGCAGGGGAACTTGCAAATGGATTGCTAGGGCTGCAGACCCCAAATTGCAATTCCCTGATGATCCTGAAAAATCCACCCTTGCTAGGGAAATAACCAGCAGTCTATTTGTTCTATTTGTTTTAGGTCAACATGCACGTATTAGTCACTCCTCACTTCCCTGTCCCTCCAGCCCCTGGCACCCACTAATCCTCTTTCTGCTTCTGTGGATTTGCCTGTTCTGGATAATTCACTGTAAACTGAATGACAAAATATCTGGCTTCTTTCACTTAGCATGTTTTCAAGGTTTATCAACAATATAGCACTTCATTATATTTTCTTTTAATGGTAAAAATGCACACTGCATTTTTTTTTAAATCACCACTTTCCATTCTGTAGATGTTAAAACTAAACCCAACAAGGCACAGCTGGCCCCAAATTGACCACAGAACTGGTTCTAACACCTCTATATGTCCCATACAAGTCCACCATTGTTTTGGTTCTTTGACACTTACGTACAAAGATAAAAGAACTAGATAAAAAGGAAGAGAGGAGGTAATTATTTTTTAATTTATAGGCTTAATTTTTAGAGCAGTTTAGGTCTATGGGAATGAACAGAAAGCACAGGAAGTTCCCATATAACCCTCTCCTCTCACCTGGAATCGCCCCTGTTATTATCTTCATTGTTATGGCACATTTGTTAAATCTGGTAAATCAATATTGATACTCTCATTAACTCCACGTTAATGTCCATACTCCACGTTAAGGGTTTTGTGAGATTCATGATGTCAGTACCCACAGCATCACACAGAACTGTTTCACTGCCTTCAACTCTGTGCTCCACCTGGTCACACCTCCCTCTTCCCCAGCAACCACTGATCTTTTACTGTCTTCATAGTTATGCCTCTTCAGATCATCATATAGTTGAAATTATAACAGTATGTAGCCTTTTCAGATTGGCTTCTTTTTCTTAGTAATATGCATTTAATACTGAACTGTACTGCTAAAAATTGTTAGGATAGTAAAGTTTATGCTGTGTGTGTTTTACAACAATTTTTAAAAATGATATGCTATGCAAACAGTATCCAAAAGCATGTTGCAGTGGCTATACTAGTATGAGGCAAAATAGATTGTAACAAAAAACTTGATACTAGACACACAGAAAAACATTTTATAAAATGTTTATAAAATGTAAAGGCATTGATTCCTTAGGAAAACATAACAACTATTAACATGTTTTCACCTTAGAACAGAGCCCATTAATACATGAGGAAAAACTGACAGAAGTAAAGAAGAAATAGACAATTTACCAATATCAGTTGGATTATTCAATACATCACATTTAATAATGGATAGAAAAATCAGGCAGAAGATCAAGAAGGATACAGAGGACCTGAACAACACTCTAAACCAACTGGACTAAGAGACTTTTCAGAACGCTTTGCCCACGACAGCAGATGTATGTTCCTTTCTGATGTTCATGGAACGTTTTCCAGATAGAACATTTGTGACCTCACGAAACACACATCAATAAATTTTAAAGAACTGAAATCACAGAATATATGTTTTCTGACTACAATAGAATGAAACTAGAAATCAGTAATAGAAGGAAATTCGGGAGGACTGCAAATATGTAAAAATTAAATAACATGCCCCCCCCCCAGAAAAAACAATAGGCCAAAGAAAGAACTGAAGGAAAATTCTAAAATACTTTGAGATGATGAAAACAAATACACAATGTATAAAAATTTATGGGATCCATCTAAAGGAGTGCATATAGGGAAAG